GGCGCGCCCCCGGGGGGGGGCCTGGGGGGGGGGGGGTGGGGGGGGGGGGGGGGGAAGCGGGGAGACGTGGCAGTGCAGGAAGAGGAGTGGGTGCCGGAGCGGGGCTGGGGTGCGGGGAGGCCACCGCAGGGAGGGACAAAAACCCGGGGCCACCTCGGGTGTGGCTGGGGACGGGGAACCCGCTGCCTCCGGCATTGCACCCCTCGAGGGCAGCCATCCCCCAGCAGTGCACCCCTCTGCGTGAGCAGTCCTGGGATGGGGTGCCTTTCCCCGTGGATTTGGGGTGTGCGGTTCCCCCAGCTCAGCCACATGGCAATGGGCAGCCTGCACTGGAAGGAGCCCCTCGCCCTCCCCAACAGCCACCTCGGGAGGGGAGACGGGGACGTGCCGTGGCTCCCCGGGCCAAGGGCCACCGTGGGGCATAGCCACCTGGGGCCAAGGAAATGGTGCAAATCAGGGGCTGAGCCCCAAGCAGAACTGCCCCTCCAGACCGGGGCGGGGGGGCGCTGCAGCGATTGCCATCCTCCCACCCAGCACCGAACCCCCATGCCACGGCTCAGGCCTCACGCCAGGGTGTCCCCACGCCAGGGACCATGGGGACACGTCCGTGCCTCTCCTTGGGCACAGGCAGCGGTGACAAATCCCAGCCCCGAGCCTCCCGTCAAGGACAACCACGGCACGGGCACGAGGATGCCCGCACGCCGATCACAGCATGTACACGAATGCTGGAGCAGAGCGGGTGCGAATCTCCCACCCCGCAGGCACCCCAGGACCCCCCCAGCACCCTCCTGCAGAGCCCAGCATCCCTCCAAAACACCCCAGCACCCAGCGAGACGAACCCTGGGGTCACTGCACCAGGGCAGCCTTGGGCAGCTTTATGCCCCACCGCAGGGTACAAGCACCCACCATGCGTGGGGAAACTGAGGCAGAGGTGTGCAGCAGGAAACCTGGGTGCCCTGGCTCCCCTAAAGCAGCTTGCATTTTGGCATCAGGCTGCTGCATCCCATGCAACCCCCATGTAAAGCCACGGCTTTCTGGGCCCGGGAGGAGGAAGGCAGAGCCATCGCTGTTGATGCCGAAGGGCTGCGCTGGGGTTGAGCGGGCAGCGCTGGGCTGGGGGCCAGCAGCCCCATCCCAGGCACGAAGCTGCCCCATCCCTCCCCACTGCTCCTGTCTCCTCCAGCTCTCCCTCTCCCCTTCCCCAGCCATGTTAATTAAACCCAAGTGCTTAATTACAACCTGCTGAATCCCGCGGCTGCTTCCCAGAGCCTGCTAACACTGTGGGGTCAAGCCCGACCCCCCCAACATCCCTGTAGGAAACGTGGGGGACGGGGGAACCGGGGGGAGCATCCCGGCGTCTGCAGGATTTGGGTTGCGGCTCATCAGCGGCATAAACGGATCTTCACGCAACGCATGGAAAAGAGCAAACCCAAGCAGCGGCACCGGGAAAGTCATCCCTGGGGGTCTTGGCCTCTCCAAGGAAAGATGGGGACAGATGGCTCAGCCCTGGGGTTGTCCCTGAGCTGCTGGCAGGTCCCCCAAGGGGTGCAGAGGGAAGGGGATGCTCAGCCGGTGCCCGGCAAGCTCCTGATGACACCGGCTGCTGGCAATAAAAAAATAATCAAGGCAAATAAGGTGAAGGCTGGCAGCAGCATGCAGGGCTGCGAGCAGGGGTGGGGGGAGCCAGCATACCCACCGTCCTTCCCCGCATGGTCACCCACCGGTGGGTGCCCGGGGCAGAGGGGTGCCCGGTGGGGGGGTGGACTGACCCTGTCACCCTCCTGCCCGCAGGTCCCCACCAGCCCATGAAGTGATTCGGGTGGGTGGCACAGCCTCTGCTCCTGCCATAGCTGCCGCCGCCGCTGCACCGGGCACCGAGGTAAGAACCCAGGGCTGTGGCCGTGGGGTGGGTGGGATGCTCTGGCATGGGCACCAGACCCCCAAACCGGGTCTGTGGGGCAGAAATCCCAGTTGGGGTCTTCCCCTGTCCGTGGGGGATACCCAGCCCCGTCACCTGGGGGAACTGGCATGACCCTGTGGGGGTCACCTGGGGCAGCCCCCCCCCGTCCCCTGGCCGAGCATGGAGGGGCCAGGGCAGAGTAACCGGGGTGCCGTGGGGGAGGCGGCGAGGCCAGGGGCGACCACAGGAAGCGTGGTGGTCACGAACCCGCACCCTGCTTCCCTCCCCGCCTCGGCAAACGGCAGCGGCAGAAGTGCCGGGGGGAGAGCCGCCGCGTTTTGGCAGATGCTCGCACCTGTGCACCTCGGCTGGGGAGGGTTGGGGCTGGGGACAGCGGGGCCGTGGGGTGCAGAGCCCGGCAGGATGGGTGCAGGTAGGTGCCACGGCAGCAGCGGTGGGGGCTCGGGTGTGCCGGGGTGTCCGGCCGGTGGCACCGGTGCTGTTCCACTCTGTTCTGTTTCTCTCGCTCAGGTCTGCTGGCCATGGGCAACCTGATAAAGGTATTGGGCAAAGATTTAGAAAACTGTCCTCATTTTTTCCTGGATTTTGAAAGTAAGTCCCGTAAGCAGGGCGGGCGCGGGGAGGGGACCAGGGCCGCCACCGCGGCTGCTCTCCAGAAGATGGGGACAGGCACGGTGTCCCCGAGCAGCCCCGTGTCCCCAGGCACCTTGGGGCAGCCCCGGACATACCCCGCAAAGGGCTGAGTGGGGCAGGGGAGCGGGACCCCAAAAGATGCCCTGACCCTGAAAGCGTGGGGAGACGTCCCCAGCTGAGTGGTGGGGATACAGGATACGTCCCGGCAGTGGGACCCAGCCCATGAGGACCTCAGGGATGTGCCCCACTGCTGTTAGTCGATGGCACCGGGTGGCCATGTGGTACATCCCCTGCCACCGCCACGGCAGGGACAGCTCAGAGGCCAGGGATGCCGGGGAAGGAGGAGGGAAGGATCCGTGCCGCCTGCCTTGGCCGGGAAGGGCGGCGCGGTGGTTGCAGCCTGCGCCTGAGGGATGGAGATTGGGGACCCCCGGTTTGGTCCAGGGGACCTGCCCCAGCTTCCCACTGGCCTGGGCTAACTGGGAGAGGAAAGCATGGCTCTTGGACCTCCCAGGCTGACACGGGGGAGATGGTGACCGCCATGGCAAGATGCCAGACCCGCTGCAGCCCTGTGGCCCCCCCCTTCCTCCCAGGGCACAGCTCAGAGCAAGAGCAAGGGTGGGGGGTAAAAATAGCGCAGCAGCAACTGCTCGCCCCGGCGGGGAGAGGCCGCGCTCAGCTCGCCGCACCACCTCCGGCAGCGGCACATCCCAAAATAGCTGGGGCTGGGGTCACGCAGCCACCCCGCTCCCACAGCCAGGGACCTTCTTGGCTCCTCGTGGTGGGTCCTTTGAGGCGGCACAGTCTTCGCTCACCTCCAACCCCCTCCGCAGCCCCCCACCCCAGCACTGTGGGGGCTCCCTGGGACCCCCCCAATTTCAGGGCTGGCTCCGCAGCTTGGCGGGCAGGGGGGGGATACCTGTAGCCAAGATTTCAGGGACTCGTTCACCGCTTCACCCTCCTCGCTGGAGCCCGGCGGCTCTCTCCTCCCTTCGCTCCTTCCTCTCCATCACCCCATCCGCCAGCGCTCATCACCATCGGGGTGGGGGGGAAGAGGCTGCAGCCCGGGACCGGGAGCCGCCGTGGGGTCACCCGCCGGCTGGGGGGATCACCTCGAGCCCCCGGGGAGCAGCGGGGGGGAGGACAGGGGCTCCGGCTGCCGCCGGCCGCTGCCCTCAGCCCAGCACCTCTTCCCCGAGCACCACCTCACCATCATGCTTTTTTCCTCTTGTTTCTTCTCTTGCAGGTTTCACATGGGGAACCTTCTTAAAGTGTTGACTTATAACGAACTTGACCAAGGCCCTAATTTTTTCCTTGACTTTGAAAGTGAGATGGGATTTTTATTTTCTTTTTTTTGTTTCGTACTTATTCTGAGTTCCACATCCACACCATTTTGAGTTCTCGTACCCGTCGCCCATCGCATCGCGCCCATCCCAGATGTCCTCCCCCCCCCCCCCTCAAAACCTTTGCCGTCCGGGGGTCTCCCCGGGGAGGGGGGGGCCGCGGCCACCGGGGCAGACCCATGGCCGGGGGCTATCGCTCCGCACCTCTTCCCCGGGGCAGTTTGCAGCCCGTTGGGCCCAGCCCGGGGCTGGGGGCTGCTCGGGGACCCCTGTGAGCAGGATCACGGTCGCAGGGCAGCCAGGACTCACCCCTACCTGCCCCCCCCCCCCC